CAGCCCGGGGAGCTGTCCTAGCCTGCAGTGCTGAAAAGGAACCCGGCAGACAACATAACCCAGGCAGGTCCACACAACCGACATGAGCTCACCTCTCTGCCACCTTGCAGCTGGCTCTCCAGGAGTCCGTCACTTCAGGATGCCTCTTCAGCCATCATTCAGACTCCTTAACTACTGCCAGGTAACACTGCAGGTGACGGGAAGGAGGATCTGCTGGCTCAGACTCAATCACTGTCAAGACACCTTCCCAACCAGGGCATCAGAGAGGAGCGATGGCTCAAACACTGCAGGACACTCTGCTCAGGGTCTTCGGGAGGTGTGTCTGCAGGGCTCTTGGTTCACGTGATGGTCTGCCGCCATCCCACCCTGGGCTCCTCTCCAGGTCTCTAACTATTCAGCAACATCATGGTGGTGCACCCAGTTCCAACTACCCCCCAACCACCCTCATGATCAAGTCCTCACTCCCCGAGTGGGACACTTAGTGTCCTTGGAGAGCTGGCCTTGCCACTCTCCACTTGTTCCCACTCCCATTTAGTCTCATTCTCCAGCCATTTTGATTGTTGCTTGTGTTGAACCCAACTAGGATGTCAGCAGTGGCAGGGACAAATGTTGCACACGAAAGACACATGATGATGGCCTCTGTCTGATGAGGGTCATCTCAGGAGTCACTTCCTACCCAAGATCCCACTGGCTGACCCCTGTCCCTGTGGCCACCCCGTGATGCCTCTGTGTATAGATCATTGCACTCACTCCTCAATGAAATAACTCCTCCCCCTTGAAAATTCATCCTATGTATTTTCAGCCATTCTGTACCACTTGAACCCCCTACCTGTGAGCAACACACAAAAGAGCCAGTTTTCTGCCTAAGAACTTGGTCAGTGAAGAACGGTGGGTTCAGGGAACAGCGTTGTGGTGTAGTGCATTAAGATTCAGCCTACAGCACCAGTATTCCATATGGGTGTTGGTTCAAGTCCAACCCACTCCATTTGCAATCCAGCTCCCTGTCAATAGCCTGTTAAAGCAGTGGATGATGTGCAAGTGCTTGGGCCCCTGCATGCACAAGAGAGACCAGGAAGGCTCCCCTGGCTTCTGACCTCAGACCAGCTCTGGCCATTGCAGACATTTGGGGAGTGAGCCAGTGGAAAGATGACTCAAGATTCATTCTCTCTCTCTCTCTCTCTGTAAATTTTGCCTTTCAAACAAAGAAATCTTACCAAAAAAAAATGTTTTTGAGTCTACACTGCTGTATGGCTTTGGTGTCAAATCCTACTTAAATCACAACATGGTGAGAGGCACTAAAACTCTTCTAGAAGCAGGAAGGAAGACATTCAGTGCTGACTTGGCTCCCACCAGGGTGATCTCAGGCAGCAGCAAAACTCCACCCCAGCCCGAATGCAAGGGTGCCAGCTCTCCTTGGCACCGGAAACTGGCAGCCATACGCAGCCCCCCATTAGGGAGGGACCCCTTAGGGGACCTTTCCCTTTGTCCTTGCTTCTACCCCTCACCCAGCTGCCAAGACCCTGCCCCCCACCCCCTGCACCTGGCTGCCCCTGGCTCACAGCCCCAGGCCCCCGGAGGAGGACAAGCCTCCCCCAGCTCTGAGCAGCTGCCAGGCCATGCCGAAGCCGGCAGGCAGTGTCTGGGCACCGTGTGCCACCCCGCCAGGCCTGGCATGCCTGCGTTAGCTTGATGGCCCTGCACAGCCCCGTGCGGCTGCTATTTTTAGCTTAATTGGAGAGTCGGAGGAGAGAGATGGTACCCAGTGAGGGGATTTTAAAAGCTTTCTGGGTGGGGGGAGGGGGAGAGGAAGCCAAGAAAAGTTCGTAATTATACACCAGGCAGGCAGATTTGATGCTTGAACAGAAAGGTTAAATGTTACATTCAGAATAAAATGAGGAAAAGAATGCTGATGACAGTTGCCCGGGGCTAAACGAGCAGAGAAAACACCCCATTGCCTGTCTCCCCTCCCAGCCCTCCTCCTTCTAACGCCTTCCTGAGTTTCCCCTTCCGCCTTGGAAAGCCCAGGTGTACACAGCACACAAGTTTCCAGTACCAAGATTACAGCTTGGATGTCCAGGCCTGGATGCCACCCATGGGCCACTTCCACTCAAACCTGGAAGACAGGCAGCCGCATCTTTTGTGCTGAGAGCCGGGAAGGCCGCTGGCCTGGTCACTGCACAAACCTGACAGACAGGCTCTCTGCTGCCCACAGTGGGCAGCCCCACCAATGCCAGGCTGCCTTGGCAAGACTCAGATGGCCTACTCCCTTCCCTCCTCCTTTCCCTGCACAGGATGAACATGATGTCAGAAGAGTGGCAGCCATTCTGTGACTGTGACCCCCGACTCTTTAAGAGTTGCAAGAATGGAAAGAGTCGCTGACGGTAAACAGCCACTGGCCCCTTGCACCACTTCCCTGTTACCTAAGACCCAATGAGGCACTGTACTCGCAGCCACTTGCAGTCTAATCTGCTAGGAGTGTGGAATTTGTTCCTAATTAATAATTCATAATTAGCTTGAGGTTGGGCATGAACTTGAGTACTTAACACCTCTCACCTTTGGTTTTCTTCTTTGTAGGCAAGGACAAATGCCGCTCATTTCTCAGGGTGCGTGTGAGGATTAAAAAGGACTTTGCTTTCCAGCGCTCATTACAGCGCCTGTAAGATGACAGCGGCTGCTGCCAATAATGTTCCTAATGAGTAAGACGGTGACATGAAATTATGAAATTTAAAGTCACCTGTCCCACGTCTACAGCACTTCGCGCTTCCAGAGGAAGCTCCTATCCCTCACCAGCTACCGGAGACAGAAAGTGCTTATCTTTTTAAAGTTTCATTCAGTATTATTGGAAAGTCAGATATACAAGAACAGAAGAGAGAGGAAGATCTTCCATCCAATGATTCACTACCCAACCGGCGCAACAACCAGAGCTGCATCAGATCGAAGCCAGGAGCCAAGAGCCTCTTCTAGGTCTCTCACGTGGGTGCAGAATCCCAAGGCCATCCTCCACTGCTTTCCCAGGCCACAAGCAGGGAGCTGGATGGGAAGAAGGGCCACCAGGAGCCATCACCCATATGGGATCCTGGCACATTCAAGGCAAAAGCTTTAGCCACTAGGCTACTGCACCTGGCCTGAGGAAGTGCTTATTCTTGACACCTGGTAGACCCAGAGAGGTTAAGCAACCCCAAAGCAGCTGGGTCTAAGGCAGGGCCAGCCTGCTGCTCACAGCTGGCAGAGCCCTGGGCACTCACATCCTGGGTCTCGGCCCTTTTACCTGAGGACTCATCATGGTTCCAGACTGGGGCACAGCTATGGCTGCAAAAACACAGCTCATGCATGCGCCTCAATATGTAGTCAATTGGCCTCGGGATGGCCTTATTACCCCAAGCCCAAGAAGATCAGAGTTCCTGGGCATCACTCTTTTGTCCGGCATGTCCTCATTTCTCAGCTGTTAACACTAGGGAGCCACAAGCCCCATCAAAAGCTGCCGGATACACCCTGGCTGACAGCCCAGACCAAGTTCTAACCCCCGTTTAGCTAGCTGCTTAGTTGAGGGGGGACAAAAAAAGTGTTTAATAAACAACAAAGACACTGAGGACAACTCTGCCCCGGTCTCCATGGCTGGACACAGCAGATGGGTCCCGCGTCCAGGGTGGCACAGGTTGCAGGGCTAGGCCGGGGAGCAAGGTTGGTGGGAGGGGGTTTCTGCCTCCAGCTCCCAGCCAGGCTCTTCCAGCTGCAGTCCAGCTGCTCTGTGGGCTTCCCAGGCTCTGCCTCCCGTGAATCAGTCGGGGGTGGGGGGAGGGTGAAGGATTACAGGTGCAAGACTGAGGCAGACACTCACCATTGGGCCCCACCTAGAAGCCAGGAATTCAGCCTCACGGGGTACCATGGGTGGAGAGGACCCAGGGACCGGCAGCCCCAGGAGATTCTAGCTCTGCCCACCCTGCTAAGAGAAGCTGTGTCCCCACCCCCAGGGCACTGACCTGAGCTGTCAGCTCAGCTCCTTCTTAGCGGATGTGGTCCTCTGTGCTTGCATGCTGTGCCTCCCCCAATCTACCAGGGCACCCAGAGTTTAACAAGAAAAGATGAAGAATTCACCTGCATGGGACACACAGGCTTTCCTTGTCCTTATTCCTGGCCAATCTAGGGCAGCACTCCACTGCCCTGTGTAGTGTCTGTCATCACCAGATGCCCCGGGGGCGGGGGGAGGCTCTGTGTGGATTTCCAGTCATGGTACAGAAGGGACTGGGTGTCCACAGAGCCTGAGGTCTGTGGGAGACCCTGGAAGCAATGCCCAGTGAATGCCACGAATACCTGTGTTTGTTCACTCACCATCCGTAGCCCCATGACAGCAGGTCTTCCTGAAAACAGAAACCTCCAAGTCCCCAGTGGCCAGCACCTAACCCGGAACACACCTGACCAGGACGCCTGGGACTGAGTGGGAGAATGCAGATGGCAGGGGTGGAGCTGGAGGTTGCTGGCCTTGACCCACCCAGAGCCTCTGCCTGGCTCCCACACCCCTACACTCCTCCTGTGCCTCCCCAGCGGACTGCCCAGCCTTCCCTCATCCATCACGGGCACAGGCACTGCTTCTAAACAACAGTTTTATTTGCTTCTATAAAACAAGGCTGCAGGTGGAGAAGGCCCACAGGGACGGCCCCCAGCCACACAGGGACTTAGAAAACTAGAACATTCAACTCTCCCCTATCCCCCACCCTCTCCAGTCCAAACCAATCAGGAATCCTGTTCCTATTCTCTGCCCGCCACCCCCCACCCAACTTAAAACCTAGTCAAACCCACGGGAGTGCAACAGCCCCAGGAAGGGATTGGCAAACATCCAGCCACTGCTGAAATAGCCATCAGTCGCCCCCGACCTAGGACTGACCCTCCATCCGCCCCAGCTGGGATCCCACTCTGCAACACAGATAAAAGCTCAGAGTCTAAAAACAATCAAAACCAACTCATCCCACCCCACCCCATCTACTCTAACCATCTCCCCGAAACTAAGAGCGAATCGCCTCATCATACTCCTCCCTGGTAATCCACTCGGATTTATAGGAGGACAGATGAGCCACGACGGAGGCCCCGAGCCAGACACTGAAGTTGCGATTGACATTCTCCCACATGGTGGTCTTGGGAAACAAGAAGTGCTCGAGGAGTTCCCGGTAGAGGCGCTGGATAAAGCCAGGGTACAGCGTGTTGCCGCCACAGGTCACCACATGGGACAGGACCGGCTGCTGCAGTGAGTCCTCGCACGTCTTGACCGACTCTATTATGGCCTTGGAGAAGCTGGGACCCGGTAGGTCGAACAGCTGTGGACTGAAGAACATCTCAGGCGCCATGAGCTGCATGGGGGTCAGCTCCACAGGGCGGCCATTGGGCAGCAAGCACACGTTGCTCTCACTGATGCCACTGGGCATGCTCTGGCGTAAGTTCAGCTCCTCGGCCAGGTTCTGCGGCACATAGCACTTGCTCGTCTGTGTGTTGGTCACCGTCTCCAGCTGGAACAGGTTGCAGCTGTTGTAGTCCTCTGTGAAGAGGCCCTTAAAGAGATAGGCAATGAGGTCTTGGCCAGCGAACTTCAGTGTCTTCCCGCTGGCAGCAAAGGGGCAGCCCTGATGGAAGGACTGCACACGGGTCAGGCCGTAGCCCGAATCCAGCACCACACCCGTCATGAGGCCCGAAGAGTACAGGGACATCTCCATCTGGTTGGCCAAGAGCAGGGACGGGACATCCAATAGCTCAAACATCACCTGCAACACAGTGGGGAGACAGGGGTGCTCAGGGGTGTCCTTGGGAGGGTGACACTGAGCTGAGTCAGAACAGATCCATGTATGGAGGGGTGGGGGACACTCGGGCCACCCCTCAGGACACTGGTACCAGGGGCTCTGGAGTTCCTGCTGGAAGCAGGAAGACTGGAAGGAGACCAACATGCCCTCAGGCCCTCATCTAATTGTGATCTTTCCAGAAATCATTTTCCTTTTTTTTTTTTAAAAAAAGAGTTGCTTATTTATTTGAAAGGCAGAGTTACAGAGAAAGAAGGGAAGGAGAGCGAGAGAGAGACAGAGAAAGAAAGATCTTCCATCCACTAGTTCACTCCACAATTGACCACAACACCCAGGTCTGTGCCAGGCCAATGCCAGGAGCTTCTTCCAGGTTTCCCACATGGTTGGCAGGGGGTCATCCTTTGCTATTTTCCCAGGCACACTAGCAGGAAGCTGGAATGGAAGCAGAGCAACTGACCCGTCTCCAGTTCACAGGCTCCAGCCTCACCAGCTGACATCACCTCCTAAGGGGAAGCCCTCCCTGGTCATCCCCTTCACAGACTCCTCCCCCAATTCCACTATTTCTAGAAGATTCTATCTCTGAAATTCTTGGTGGTCATGTTGTCCTCTGGCATGGAAGCTCTTGGAGGGTCCCAATGCAGTCTAGGAATGATGACAAAACCCATGGATGTATACCCAGAGGCCTCACCTGGGGCATTCCTCCCTCTTCGCACCCCAACTGCAGGTGCCTGGCATCATGCTGGGCATACACTGAGCACCCAGGATATACCCATGCAGAAACACATCAAGGGAGCAGAGCTCCCCAGGGCCCATGAGAGCCATGTACAAACTGACAGGTGCAACCCCCCTACACATACACACATGCTGCAAGGAAGCATCCCAGTGGCCTCACCTCCAGGGTGTGGTGTCGGTCTGCTGGCTCCCACAGGGGGTTCTGTGTGACAATCACGGGGGCATCCTGGTGCTTTTCCCGGTGCTTATCCAGGACGAACGACCACAACTGCTCCACGCCCTCCCAGTTGACAATGTGGCCACGCTCGATGGGATAGCTGAAGGATTTGGGGTGGTTAAAGTCGAAGCCCAAGACCACCTTCCGGCGGGCGGAGCTAGGACCAGGGTTCTCCTGGCATGGAATGTAGTTGACCACACTCGGAAAGACCATCTGGGGCTCATTCCAGCCAGACAGGCCACTCTTCAGGAAGCCAGAGCCGTGGTCAATGATAATGGCTTGCTCGGCCATGCTACAGCAGAGGAGGAACTCAAGGAAGCTTGGCGAATGGGGCTACCTGTAGAGGGAAACGAGGGGATCTCCATGAACCTTCTCCTGGACAGTCAACCCTTGAGTCACTTCCCCTTCCACATCTCTGCATGGAGTACTGGGCCTGACACACTTTCTCCATCACAAACTCCTGCCCCAACCTCTTCCACCTCCACCCCTCCCCCTCCCACCCCTGCTCCTCCCACTGCCAGTGGCACACAGGCCAGTCCCAGAGCCCAGGCTGGCTGGGAGGACTCCCTAACAGCTTTTCAAGAAGCTGGACCACAAGGGGTGGCCGGGAGTCGCTGGCTGCCTGCTGACAGGGCACTGACACAGGGACCATTAAGAGCAGAGCCACCTGCTAGACCACAGCAGCAGCAGTAGCACTAGCAAGGAGGATGACAGTGACGGCAGGGGTGGCTGGCTTTGCCAGAACACAAAAGCAACATCCTGCATATGCAGTTGGACTCTGAGAAGCAGCTGTTTGTGCTAAAATACAGCCAGACATCAGCAGGTTCACATGATTCGTCAGACACACGAATGAAGCTCATCTTCCCCACAACCTATAGGGCAGAGCCCAATGTTATACCCATTCTGCAGATGGGAAAATTGAAGCATACAGAATCCCAGCCTTAGTAACCAACAAAAGCAGGGCTGGGAGTTAAACTCTAAGCAGAATGTACAGGTGACACACTGAACAGATGTGGGTTGAAGGTAGGTTACATTTTTATTTATCTAAAGTCAAGAAGACAGAGAGAGAGAGAGAGAGAGATAGCTTCCATTTGCTGGTTCCCTCCCCAAATGCCTGCAGCAGCCAGGCCAGGCCAGGCCAAAGCCAGAGAGAGAGATAGCTTCCATTTGCTGGTTCCCTCCCCAAATGCCTGCAACAGCCAGGCCAGGCCAGGCCAAAGCCAGAGAGAGAGATAGCTTCCATTTGCTGGTTCCCTCCCCAAATGCCTGCAGCAGCCAGGGCCAGGTCAGGCCAAAGCCAGGTGCTAGGAAGTCTGTCTTGATCTCTCCCATGTGTGGCCTCCTGGGGTTTGCATTAGCAGGAAACTGGAACCAGGAGAGGAGCAGGGACTGCTCCAAGCATCCCCAGCAGCAAACACCTGCCCCAGGATATGGGCTGTGTGAACTGAGTAGCTAACATAAGGTACAAAGGAGATGACATCAAGACACCTCCCTGGGATGGTCATCAGCTTCCCCATCAGAACACGGGGGTGACAGCATCCCCTGCTCAGACAGCAGGCATCTCCACTACCTGATTCTCAATAGCAGCCATGATGGGGAGATATCAGGAAAAGATCACAGGACCAACACACAGCCAGGGATCCAGGTAGCTTGTGCCAACCAGAAACACACCCATAGCAAAAAGGCCAGCTGGTCCTTGACACCCTGTGACAACAATTAAATGGAGAAAAGGTGAGCTCAGACAAATGGCACGGCCGCTGGAGCCTGTGAACAGGAGAGAAAGCTAGGACAAGTACGCGGTTCAACACCACACAGAGTTCACCTCCACGTGGATCTCACACCTAAATGGGAAGCCTAAAGCTGGAAGGCCTCTCAAGAACAGGGGAGGAAGCCACTGTGACTCCACGTGAGGTAAAACTTCATTCACTTAGAACTTCAAATGCTTTGGCTGGCACTGAGGCACTGCATGCCGCACTGGCATGGCGAATCCAGCACAGCTGGTCCAGGCCTGGCCACTCTGCTTCTGATGCAGCTCACTGCCAGTACAGACTCTGAGAGGCACCAGGTGACAGCCCACGTCCTTGAGAGCCTGCACAAAGCTCCCAGCTCCTGGCTCTGACCTCGCCCCTCCCTGGTTGCTGCAGGCATTTGGGGGAGAGAAAGGTGGTTTTCAATTTCTCTCTCAATAACCCTGCCTTCCAAAGAAATGGATAAATCTTTAGCAAATAATAAGCATGTGAAAAGACATCCACACCACTGGTCATTAGGAAAATGGAATTAGAGTCCCAAAGAGCTAGCTGTGCATGCTGTCCAAGGGGCTGGGAGATGGGAGGTCTCCCCACTGCCGGTGGGATTGAACAACGGTGTGACCACTTGGCACACAGCACAGCACCCTCTATAAACAGGAAACAGCCACGCCTTCCTACCCTGGGAGGGGCTTCCCAGGAAGAAGAAATCATATGTACATGTGCTTATATAGATATGCCCAGAATCCTCCCAACTAGAAACAGCCCACACAGGGACTGAGGAAACAGACCTTGTCCAAACTGCTAGAAGCTGACTCGGCAGCTCAAAGAAATGAAAGCAGAGACACAGTGGATGGGGCTAGACCAGCTACCCATGACACAATTCCACTCACCAATAGCAGGGCAGAGAGCACACAAGGGGCTGCCAGCAGACAGAGATGCCGAGAGGGACCTCCACTGTGGTCATGCCAACTTGAGGATATAACAGAAATGCATCTTCTTTAAAAGAAAATAATTTATTTAAAAGGCAGAGTGACAGAGACGCAGGTGGAGAGGAAGGGAGATAAAAGGGAGAGAAAGAGGAAGGGAGAAAGGGAGAGAGGGATAGATTGAGAAAGGGAGTAAGGATGGCAGGAAGGGAGGGAGAGACAGAGAGGAGAAAGATGGTCCATCTGCTAGTTCACTCCCCAAATACTTCAATGCTGTGGCTGGGCCGGGCCGAATCCAGGAGCTTCTTCTAACCCTCCTAGGTGGGTGCAGGCGCCCAAGCGGTCTTTTTCTGCTTCCTGGTGCATCAGCACTTCAATTACAGATGCTGTCACTGCAAGTGCTGGCTTACCACACTGTGCCACAGAGCAAGTCCCCGTGCTGTTCTAGACTGTGGAGGTGGTACACACAGCACAGCTGTGTGTCAGAACTCACATGACCTCCTTGCTAGAGTGAATTTCCCTCTCGGTAAAAACCACTTCAGGGACAACGCAGTGGGTGTGAGCCATCCAAGGACAGATGCAAGAGATCCCACCGCAGAGGACAAATCATCAGACAGCAGACTGCACACCCACACTGGCTGTGGGCGCTTCCCAGACAAGAGCCTTCCAGGAAGGCTACTAGCTGAAGCCATGTCCCAGGGCTGCCCCTCCACCAACCATCTGGGCTGCTTCAAGGCCTGGACAGTGCTGTGTGTGCCTATAATGACAGAGTGTGATGGCCGCTGCCTAGTCCAGGCCAGAGGCTTCCGGCTGGAACCAGCCCGGTAGCAGAAAGCAGACTTCCCTACCCTGAACGAGCTCTGACATCAGACTTGCCTGCTGGCAGGCTGAGTGAGGGATCTCTCAGCCTGAATCACCAGGAGTGATGGAGACCTGAGTGCCGGGATGACATTCCAGGAAGCAGGCGCTGCCTCAGCCTCCCTCCCCCTACACCAGGACAACAGGGTGATTGATGGATGCTTCCCTGGCCCGAGCACCTGCAGTTGCAGGAGATGCTGGGAGCATAATGGCCACTATGACTATCAATCAAGATGCTCCCGGGAAGGGGCGGGGGAGAGGAGAGGCTGCAGCTAGAGGCTCCACAGACCTGGCCACAGAAGAAGACTGAGGGTGGCAGTGGGCCCTTTCCTGAATGCCTGAAGATCACCCTACATATCCCCAAATATCCCTATCACACACCCCTTCCAAGCACCTACTGTGGCCCAAAATGACACAGCTACCACTGTCCCCTCCCGGAGTTTACACTCAGCCCAGAAAGACGGTCAGGAAGCACGGAATTCAAATAGACACTGCAGCAGAGACTGACATTGTATGCAGAAGCCCGCCTGGGGAGAGGGCAAGGGAGCTTAAATAGGGTGGGCTCTCTCCAGAAAGCAGAAGAGCAGGCAACACATCCCAACTCATTTTTAGGTCAACAGGACTTTGAACTTTTCAAAAGCATAGAGATTAGACAAAAGAAAGCCACAACCAAAAATTCCTCAAGAAGATAAATAACAGAAATTCCTCAATAAAACTCTAACAAATCCAGCAATAAATAAAAAGAATAGTACACATGGACTGGGGAGTTTATCTCAGGAGCGCAAGGCTCAGTCAGCATCTGTAAATCCATGCAGCACAGCCTACTAATGGATTAAAGAAGTCATGTGACCATCACAATAGATGCAGGATTAAATGGATAAAATTCAGCATGCATTGGTAGCAAAAACTTGCAACAATTGGGAACAGAGGGAATTTCGTTAACCTAATAAAGAGCGACAAGCCTGCAGTTAGGGGTGTAGTCAGCTAAGCCTCTGCCTGCAGCACTGGCATCCCATATGGGCACTGGTTCATATCTCAGCTGCTCCACTTCCGACCAGCTCCCTGCTTATGTCCTGGGCACAAGTGGTTGGGCCCCTGAATCCACATGGGAGACCCGGATCAAACTCATGTCTCTTGGCTTCGGGTCAGCTAAGCTGTGGCAGAAAGAAAGAAAGAAAGAAAGAAAGAAAGGAAGGAAGGAAGGAAGGAAGGAAGGAAGGAAGGAAGGAAGGAAGGAAGGAAGGAAGGAAGGAAGGAAGGAAGGAAGGAAGGAAGGAAGGAAGGAAGGAAGGAAGGAAGGAAGGAAGGAAGGAAGGAAGGAAGGAAGGAAGGAAGGAAGGAAGGAAGAAAGGAAGGAAGGAAGGAAGGAAGGAAGGAAGGAAGAAAGGAGAAAGGAAGGAAGGAAGGAAGGAAGGAAGGAAGGAAGGAAGGAAGGAAGGAAGGAAGGAAGGAAGGAAGGAAGGAAGGAAGAAAACAGAGCTTTTTGCCTAAGATTGGGAATGAGATAAGGTCTGTTTCCCTTCTCCACACTGAAGCAGAAGTCCTATTCAGACCAACGAGGTGGGAAAAAAGAAAGTCAAGGCACAGAAATTAGGAAGAAAGGAAACTGTTTCACTTGCTAAAGACATAATTACCCAGGCAGAAAACCCCTCAGAACTTACAAGAGACCCTAGAATCAGTAAATGATTCTGGCCAAATCACAGGTCACAGACTGATATTTTAAAAACAATTATCTTTTCTAAATTAACAGTAAGCAGTT